TTTACCCTTTTTTGGCAGGGGTACTTGATGGAGTGGCCCTATATTGTCCATTTGCGTACCTGACCTAGCACTTATGCAAATATTAGGATTTGCAAAGTTGGAGCAATATCGGATTATCCTTTCTCTTTCTGTGCAGTAAAATATATATATATTTTTTTTGTTGAAAATTTCGTCCTTTTGTAGAGAAGGTACCAGAAGGAATGGACCAATATTGCCCATCTCCGAACTCGATCTAAGTTTAATAATAATATAACGATGTACCACGGTTGGACCACATGTAATTCTCCCTTCGAGAGTTATCGTGCGCATCAGCCAGACTGACAGACAGACGGGCGGATGGACATTGCTAGATCGACTCCAAAAATCCTAAATCGGATTTGGTGCAAATAGACCTAGGGTTTAAAATCATTATTCCGATGAGGCACCTTTTGGTCGTATCAAATGATATATACCCTCTCTAGCCCAAATCAGATACTCCATTCGAGAGTTATCGTGCGCACCAGACACACAGACGGACGGACGATCATCGCTAGATCGACTACAAATGTCCTAAAACGGATTTGTTCCCTGAGGGTATAAAATCTCTTTATATAACAAATAATTCTCCATAAAAAGAACTCTCTAAAAGGCCCTTCTAGTATCAGAAAAAATCTGGACAAGAAGGATAGGCCAATACGAAAAAAGAATTCTCTAGATAACAACCTCTCGTCCTTATATAAGAGCAAAATGTCAATACAAAGGACTCCCCCTGATTATATACAAAAACATCCATCCAGGACCTTATATAAGAAAATATCTTCAAGAAAGGGTAATATATAACAATAAAGTTCTCTTCCCTTGATAGGAGCATTTTTTCTACTTTCATAAGAAGAACACCTTAATTTTTGTATTAGGACACTCTGATACACTTTCCTCCGTAAGATATTGAGGGACTCTATAAAAATTTCTTTTGGACATCTATTTTACCACCTATTGGTCCTCTACAAAAATACTCTCGGTTTCCAGGACGCATTAACCTTCCAAAATATGACTACTGGGTATTTTGTAAGAATTCCTCTTGGAATTCAGAGAGAACGTTCTTTCCCCCAAGGACACTTAGATTTTATTTTTTTTCTTTCCAGTTGTTGTAGTTTTCATAATCCAAACTGGCTCCTTCCTCACTGTTACTTTCCCAGTTTTTTTTTTTTTTTTTGAAATTCTATTTTCCCCCAAGATAGTTGACATTGCCAACATGTGTGGCAAAAATAATAGCATTTGCAATTGTAATCCTCTGCTTCATATTGTGGACCATTAAAACGCAATTCTTTTATTTTTTCTTTTCAAACAAACCGCAAAACGGCATCAAGGCGAATAGAAGTCATAAAATATTACAACGGCAACATATTGGAATTATGAGACCACAAAAACAACAGCAACAACGACAACACAAAATCCATCTAACTAAATGTGTTAGAATTATGACAAAGTGTAACAAAGTAACAGCAACAACAAGAACAAGAACATGTAAACAAATCCCATCCCCTCTCAGGCGAGAATTCTGAATTGTTTTTTGGTGATAATTTTGAAAAAATCGAATACAAATGTGCTGCAATTAAAAGAATGATGAAGTGGTTATTTGAAACCCTAAATTTCTTGAATTTTTTAGGGGTTTTAGTTAAAAAAAAAAAAAAAAAAAAACATTTTTTGGAATTCATTGAATATTTTCCAAATTATGTAGATAACAAGAAATAAACAAATTTTAAATGTCTGGATATCAATTTTCAGTGAAATGTTGTTTACTAACAGGTCATTGCATCCGAAATACTAAGTACTTTAAACTAATCTTTATAAAAAAAAACAAATTTTAAAATAATTGTGCCGCTCTTGACGAGATTCTTGTGATAAAAATGATTGATTTTTGCAGAGGAGTGACCAGATTTAAATATCGAAAATTTCATGAAAGGAAACTGATAATAACAATAATCAAATGATAATAATCTGCTTTCATAAAATGTTAATCTTAAAAAGAAAACAAATGGCTTGGGATAGATGTCAAACAAATATTATTTTCTCCTTATCCCTGCTCTCCTTATACCATGTTCCCATTGCAATATAACCCACGGATATTAACATGTCCATACGGTATGATTCGTATTATATATTTTTTAAACTTATTATTTCTTGATTTTTATTGAATATATTAAATGAACAAATACAGGGTGAGATAAAAAAACTACAACAAATTCAACAGCCATAATTTTTACATTTTTTTTTTTTAATTTTATCAAATGAAATCAAAAAAATATCGGAAATAGCATGGAATTTTAGAATAAGTTTAAATTTTTTGGTTAATTGGCAATGAAACCGTCACACGCTGCCTGAATGTTGCTCTGCGGCATTTTGGCCCATTCTCGGCGAAGCGCTTGCTTGAGGTGATCGACATTTTGGTATTTTTTAGTGCCAACTTTGCTTCCCAAAATACCCCAGACACAATAGTCCAACGGATTGGTAACGAAGCGAGAAACTCATTTTGTAACCATTTTTGGGTGGCGCGTGCTGAGTGTGATGGTGATGAGTCTTGCTGGAATATCCAAGGTCTGCGGCCCTCCAAAATATTTTAGCGATATTATTCGGCATTTATTCTTATGTCATGGTGGATAAATACGAGCGGAGAGCAACCATCGGCTGTTATGGCGGCCCACACCAACACCATGACCGGCACTTGAGTTCCGGTGGCCAACCGAAGGTGCACATTTTCAGCTGAACTCTTTGGCAAGTAAACACGATCATTTCGCTTGTTTACAAACTGCTGGACAACGGATGTTTTCTCATGGGAGAAAACCAAATTCGGCAATTCACCACTTTCGGCCAAGCTCTTTTGGGTCTATTTTCTTTTTGTTGCGGTGTAAGTTCTTGCACTTTTAGGAATTTCAATGGCTTACCCCGAGATCATTTTTCAATATTTGCCAAAATGCTTGTAAAGCTGTCACTGGAATAATTTTAACACCTGGCGAACGACTGGCTTAGAAATAACAGAAGTCTGAAGTTAGTTGCAGCTTTTCATCTCACCTTGTATACCATCACCTTAAATGTTGAAAATAATTCGAAAACGAATTGAAAATCAAATTACTACCCATCAGCTCTACTTATTTATTTATATTTTTACCCATACTATTATAGCAAATTAACACTTTTGCTCCACTTCGAACGAAATATTGTGCGTATTAGCTATTTGTCACGTATACGTTAAGCTTTTTATTGAACTTTGCTAGTCAATAACTTATATTGACACATTTTTTATACAAAAACACATTTGAGGCCCGCAATAATTTCTAAAATTTATTAGAAGTTATTTTAAGATTGCTTTTGAAATTTAAATAAAGTCCACTAAAAAAACATGTTTAGATTCACTTGTAGTTTTTAAAAAATTTACAATTATTTAAATAAATTAAAATTGGCTAACATTTTCTACTACAAAAAATCCTCAATTAATTTTTATTTATTTCTTCTACTAAAATCTCTTTGAGATCCTCTCAAAATTGCATTTTATTGCATGAATGACTCATCTTTGACAAGACAGTATCAGGGGTGCTCAAAAAGAAATATCTCTTTTCAGTCAAATTTCTCTTTGCTTATTTAAATCAAGAACAAAACAGTGTTAAGTCATTATTTATACAAATATTTTGTATCCATTTGTTTTATAAATTATTTTGGCAAACATTCGTGTTTAAAAACAATTAAATAGAACCGTAAAATATAAAGAAAAACAGAATTTTAATTTTCTCTTAAATTATCTCTTTTTTCTCTTCATGTTCTAGAACACGGTTTTGAGCACCCCTGCAGTATACATTTTCTTCCTTTTATTGTTTTCATTTCTCATCTTTGAATCATTCTCTGTTGTGTGTGTATTCTTCTTTGACCAGCTAATATATGACCGTTGTTATTGTTATTATATTTACATTTGGGAACAAAACCAGTTCTTTCGTTCTTTCTTGTCTCTGTTTTGCAATGATTCCCTTCATTGCTCTCTTTCTCAAAAAAATGTACCTATCACGCCTTCAGCCATAATGGACGCCACAATTCATTACCGTGTATTTGCATTAGTATGTGTGTGTGCGTCAGTGAAATGAATCGATGAACTCTCTCTTCATAAAAGAAGTAGGGAGTTATATTGACAATAAAAACAAAGAGTAGTGATCTCTTGGCTACAGAGTTGCCAAAAATGGCAGTAACATTGAGATAGGAGTAAACAAAATATGGAAAACAACATATATTCACCACATAAAATAAATTTAGAAGTTTCCATAGATGAAATTCGTAATAAATGATCACAAAACATAAGTAAAATGCGGGATTTTATATATTTGTCTTTAAATTTGCGTACTGCAACAACGACAAGTACAGAAATTTTGAAACTTGTTTTGACGTTCAATTATATTGTGGTAAATATTATGCAACAATATTTGAAATATCTCCTCAGAATACTCCATCCAATCTCTTCACATATAACATGCGAAAAAAAAAATTCGAGAAAAAAGGAAAGGATGGAAAAGCTGCATCAGAGAACTTAAAAACAGAAGAGCTAAAATCCAATTCAAATCCCTGATGATGACTATCGAAGATAGTCGAAATATCGGACAAATAAATTAATATATAAAAAAACAAATTCGTCTGTTTTTTTAAAGTCTGACCTCGAGCCAAACGAAAACCCAGAAGAAAAAAATCTAATCTAATCAAAATGTATTTTTTTTTAAATTTCTATTAGTGCCATTTTGTTGCATATTAAAATCCCATTAAATATTCCTTATTTCCCACAATTTTGCAAAATAAATTCTATTTTTGCCGTCTAACCGTTATTTTTCCCTTTGTCATACATTAAAAGCCGTTACAAACCAACTACATTTTCTATACACCACCAAAATACCCAAAAAAAATACAACCCTGCTCTCTATCTAACCTCCATACGAAAACAAAACAACTGAATGTTTGTGGAATGTGGATGGAGATCGCAAAAACACAACAACACAAGAATTGCAAACACACACACGCAATAACAAATTGTGTGGTGTTTATGAGAAACCAGAGAGCGGGAGAGACGGAGAGCGAGTGTGTTTGCTATTATGTGGAAGATAAAGCAACAAGCACCAGAAAAACGGCGTCTCAACAGAATAATCAAAGTTGAGTTGAGTGTGGTGGTGCGTTAAAAACTAAATGAAATCCGAAAACAAAAATATTATTTGCTTGCAAAATATTACAAATAATTCCACAAATAATATAAACATTACATTGTACAATTGCTAAGAAAGTTTGGTGAATTAAAAGTTGAGAAATTTCTGCAACATTTTGAGGTGGAAACAATGATCAACACTTTGCTGACACATGTGCCAATTAAAATGGAAAATAAAGAAGTGGAAGTGAATGACAATGGCGAGGAGCACATACGAGATGACAACGATATCAATTCCGAAGGTGATGCAGAGGAGGAGGACGATGAAGATGATCTAGAAGAGGACCTGGATGAGGATGATGACGAGGACGACGACGAGGAGGTAGATGATTTGGCCAGTGATGTGCTGGAGGTGGAACAAGAGGTTACTATGCTTATGAGCAGTGATGAGGAAGCTGAGCTGGAGGCCCAGCGCATACGTTTTCCAGAAAAACGAGCGTCTAGGAAGAAGTCTCATGACAGTAAATCAAGCCGTAGTACAAGCCGAAATAGCAACACCAGCCAAACATCTAACGCAACCAATGTCAGCAACCACACCACCACCAACAACAACAACATTCCTGCAAATTCAACGAAAACAAACAAAAAAGATTTAACCACGGCAACAACAACAAAAGAGAAAAGGCCAACAACATCCAAAAACGCAAACATTGCGCCAGAGAAAACATCAGAGACAGAATCGACGACAACAACAACAACACCACCACCACAAAGAACATCTCCACGCAACCGAAAGGAAAACAACAAAAACCTAGACAATTTGCCAGCTGCCGGTGACCTACGACAAGTTGCCCGCCGCCAAAGCAGCAATTCCACCTGCAGTGTTGCCTCCTCGATTGGCTCAACGGAATCCGCTGAAACAGAGTCCTGCGGCAACATCTATGTCTATCAGCAGGAACAGAAGCTGATATTCAATTGTGAATTTTGCGATTTAAAATATCCCGATTTGGTGAATCTCAGTCGCCACTTACACGACGCCCATCAGCTATTCCACAACGACAACAATAATGCCCACCACCACCATCAAAGCGATGAAGATCAAGAAAAGGAGAATTCTCCACGAAACCTGCGCAATCGAAATAATCGTTTGCCCACGACCAAAACCCCCCAACTGCAAGCGTTGAGAGTGAAAAAGGAACCATTGCAAACAGCGGAGAGCTCTGCTTCGCCAACTGTTGCTCTTACCCTAGATGTGGTGACCGAGCATAGCCTACAGTCGTGCGGTAATGTTTTCATTCTAAACCATCGCAAATTGTTTTTGGTCTGTGGCCACTGTGAAAGCAAATATGCCAATGTGGAGCTGTTCGAAAAGCATTTGCGTCAACAACATGAGCTGTTCAAGGACCAACCGGCCTGTAATGAGGTCAATGTTATACCCAAAACAGAGATTAAGGAGGAGGTTTTCATCATTACCGAGGTGGTGGAGAAAACACCCGTGATAGCCCAAGAAGCAATGGTGGCAATACCGGCGGAGATACCTTTAGACATTAGTACCACAGAGGAGGCAATCAATGAACACAATGTTGAGGAGTCAGAAGAGACGGTCATACTGTCCAGTGATATTCCCATGGACACAGAGGTTATATCGTCCATACAAATACATGACTCTGGGGTGACAGTGGCAGAGATCCCTGTCATAATTGCAACGGCAGAGGATACCGTCACCATAGAAGAAATTCCATCGCCTTCCCCTATTCCCCAAGAAACAATTCAAGAGACTGCTGCCTTGGAGCAAATACCCGAGAAAGTGGCAAAAGAAACGGAGACAGTAGGCAGTCCCCCACCAACCAAGAAAAGTAGCCGCAAAAGACGTTCTTCTCCCGAAAAGCCAGCTACTCCCAAATCTCCTTACAAAAGGCCACGCAGGAGTGTTAGGGCACCCGTGGCAGAGGTAAGTTTAAGTGAATTTATTTTTTGGGGTTTTAAATCTAATAATGCCTTTCACTTTCAGCTGGAATCCCAGAAACCTAAAGAAGCAACTAAATCCGCACGCAAACCTGCAAATAACATTAAAAAGGAAAATAAAAAATCTCCCAAGAATAACGAAACTCAGGCTGAAACTTCCACGGATATTGCCAGTACAGCCGAAAGCATTCCGGTTCAAGAGCCAACTCCAAAATCCCCCGAAACCAACAATTCCACAACTAAACGTTCAAAGAAATCCGCAGCAGGGGCTGCAGAGGGACCCAAAAGGAAGCGTAAAACCATTAAGACCAAAATTGAAAAGGAGGATCAACCAACCCCTGTTCTCTTTGAGGCACCTATCGTCCCAACCAACACAGAAATAGAATCCTCTATTGGAACAGGTCCCTCGGACAGAGATGAAGAATTCCTGGAAGACCCTGTGGCCGATATAATTCAGCAAATACAAAATGAAGAAAATATGGCACAGGAAAATCTTCATCCTATCCCGCCCACAACATTGGCGGTGAGCCCATTTGCACCCACATCCTCCAAGCAGGTTATCATAACTGTGGCCAATAACCCCAGCAACCAAATGTCACCCACATTTACCACAACAACTGTCATCAACCACAATCCGAATTCCCCAGAAGATGTGAAACCCATCATCAATCATTTGGGTGAACGTCGATATGCCTGTGATCAGTGCCCTCGCACCTTCAAGAAAAATGTACGCCTGGTGGAACATAAACGTCTGCATGACGGTGTGAAACCCTTTGCCTGCGATGAATGTGGCAAAACTTTCCGCATACGCATGCAACTCAACACACACAAACTTCGACATTCCAAAGAGAAGAGGTTCATTTGTGAGATATGTCAATTGGGTTGTACCACCAAACAAGATCTGAATCTACACATGAGACATCACACCAACGACAGGCGATTCCATTGCACCATGTGCCCCAAGGCTTTTGTACGTAATTCCGATCTGAAAATACACATACGCGTTCACACCGGCGAAAAGCCTTATGTCTGTGAAATTTGTCACAAATGCTTCCGAGCCAATCAGAATCTCATTGTTCACAGGAAATCCCATATGGGCGAGGCGTCCCGAACCTTTCAGTGTGAACATTGTGATAAGAAATTTCTGCGAAAAATTGATCGCACCGTACACATGCGTTCCCATACGGGAGAGAAGCCCTTCAAATGTGAGATATGTGACCGGGCCTATTCATCGAAATTTAATGTTCGCGCTCACATTGAACGCGATCATATATCGGAGAATGGTCGAAAGAAACCGGGGCCCAAACCACACAGTCTGCGAGAGGAATTGAAAATACAAAAGAGACTTATTGAAGAATTGCAGAAGCAGCTGATGATGCAAATTAAAACGGATGAAAAGATAATACCGGCTGAAATGCAACCCATCAACGAAAGTGATATGGAGGATCAACATATGGAGGAGATGATTGGGCCCACAACAACAACTGCAACGGCGAATGCGGTAGCCGCAGCTGCAGTGGAAAATGAAACATATATAATTTCGGAGATTAGTTCTCCGCCCACTAACAATTCCATGGATCAACAATCTCTACCACAACATGCATCGCCTGAGGAGGGTCTTAAGGTTACGCCTTTCACCAAGGCGGCCAAACAGAGAAATGTGGTGGCAGCCTCCACTGCCAAGTCCTCAAATATTCACTTGCCCCTGGTTAAAAAAGATGCTGCGGCCGCCACAACCACTCAAGTGGTGCAACAGAAAACTTCTTTGGGCATACAACAGGTATCTGTCACAGTTTCCATGCAAGTCGACAACATTTCAACTCCCACCAGTGTTAATGATACAAGCGGTGGCGGCGGCAGCAGTGGATCTACTCCGGAAAAAGAAAATTCCAGCAGTCCAAAAGCGGTGGGATCATCAAGTGCGGGTGTCAAAAAGGAAAGGAAAATAACCAGCTATTTTACAGTGGTCGGTCAGAAAACGTAAGTGTTGAAGGGAGAGAGAAAGAGAGAGAGATTTGAATGAAAAACGGTAATAGTTTTTGCCAAGGGAGACGGAGAAATGAAAGGAGATGGGGACATATATTTGTCGAAGAAAAATTATTTGCAAAGGAAGAGCCAAGAAAATGAAGGTATAATTAGGTAGTACAGTAAGAAAATGGGACATACTTCTAGGAGCTCTACAGAGATATAAATATAAATTATAACTATATTTATTTAAAAGCAGAATTAATTCAAGTTCATTGGAGATTTGATAAAAAAATTGAACAAGTAACGATTTTAAAATTATAAATCGGTGCATACTTTTAGGAAGACTCACCAAGGATCAACATTTTTTGATCAAAGCTGTCATTCAACTCAACTCCACTATTCCAATACCTGAAAAGGGCATTCAATTCAAACTTATTTCCATACAAAAGCCTCGCACAAACCGAAATATTTATGTAAAATATGTACTTCACAACAAATTGAATCATAAAACCGAAACGTTACTTGCCCCATGCAAACAAAAAATAGACAGGAAATCTAGAGCCTTGTCTTTGTTTAACAAATTTTTAAAAATGTTTGGAAACGAAAAAAAAATATGATATTATTACTAAAAGTATAACTGTTGTTATATATGAATATATACAAAAAAAGAGAGAAAGAAAGAAATTTGTTAAAAATATACACGCAACTATTTTTGATACAAGGAAATATTGAATTTTTTACAAAAAAAAAACTAAACGCACACACAAACTAAAAGACTCATAAGACTTAATGTAATAAAACCAGGTTAAATATTACTATAAATACATTCTTTTTGAAATACATATACATAAATCTAAACAATAATATATATTTTTTATAAAATATAAACTACAAAGTTAGTGAAGAAGGATTTAAAATCCTACACAAACAAAAACTACTTTTTTCATTTTATTATATACCACAATTAAACAATATTATACTCAATATTTTTTTATATAATATATTACAACAAATTAAATTTCATCAATTAAGTATATATTTTTCCGAAGCATAAATTTCCCGCACAATTGTATTTATATTTTGAAAAAGGTTTATTTTTTTAAGGACATGGATTACAAAATAACTTTTTTTAATACCTAAAAATATATAATTTGTCTAAGTAAGTGTAAGATTTTCCATACAAGATTCTGCCGTCATTAAATTGTATTCTTCCCAGGATGAAAAGACATTAAATCTACTTAATTTGTAACTAAACTTTTATTTTTAATACCACAAAGTAATATACTATTCTTCCATGAAATTAGTTTTAAGTTTATGAATATCAATTAATTTTGGTTTATTCTTAAAATTATATTTTAATATTATTATACGCTAAGATTTATTATTCATTATTATTAATTATAATTTCACTTTATGTATATTGAAATACATGTATTTTTTACACAAACATACTAAAATCTGTTCTTTTAATCAATAATAATTGTGAGGTGGAGCCATGGTAGAAGAATACAGGTAGATGCATCAACGCTTGGGAACATTGATATGTCAAAAAAATTTTAAATGTTTTTTCAAATGTAAGTAGATTTTTATATGTTTTCTTATACGATTATTATTCGCGTTTTCAAAATTTTTTTTTACAAATTTAAATGATTTTTCATTCAACATTTTCAATTCCAAAATTGTTTTGACAGTTTATGGTCCCAGCAGCTGTGCCGATGCGTCTACCTGTGGGTGGAGCCAAAATGGGTGACAGGACAGTTTTGTGCTTTTAAAAAAACAGAGTTGCATTTTCCATATTTATTCAACCTGTTCTACCTTGTAATTATTCGATGCAAAACATCTGTTGCTGCAATGAGCTAAACAATTTTGAAATTCGCATTTTTGATTGACAAATTGAGTTAAATTTGTTGAGAACACACATATTTCAACAATCTGGTATAAGAAAATATGTGAAAATCAATTGAATTTTGCAAACCTTTTTAATGTTTTTGGGATATCCTGCATTATTTCTCATATTTTATTTATTATTAAAACATTATTTACTCTAATTAAATAGTATTATTCAATATCACATTTCAAATGTCATTAAAAAATCAAATATTTTTGCATAAACGCCAGTGCATCTACCCGGATTCTTCTACTGCTACTTTTAGTAAATTTACCAGCAAAGTTCTATTTTTTGCCCTGTTATTTAGTGTCCTTATATTTCATACAATATTTTACCACGAAATTTTAGCTTAATGATTTTTAACGCCTTTTTATATAATTTCTAAAATTTAATTCATTGACAATAACTAGGTAGGGTTCTATAAGCACTCATCACACAAGCATTTTAAAGGCGGTCAAATTCACACCTAGTGTTCCCTGATTTTTTTGACATGTGAGAGTGTGCTGAGAGACATACAAGCGCGTCGATTTCTAATTGTTATCAGAAAAATATTAGGCAAAAGACCGAAAATTAACAAATATATCCCAAAATAAGCAAACATTTTGTTAATAACAACAAAGATTATGTTATAAATGTTTTCATAGACCAAAAATAATAAATGCAAAGCAGATAAAGTTGTCTTCTATCCAGATTTGAGAGTCGCCTGATGCCTGTCAAAGTTAAGACTGCAATGGTAAACAATTTGAAAGGCCTAAAAATAAAGAAGGAACGGGAGGATGAAGTCGATGAAGCTCAAACATTGAATGCCAAAGAGGTATTGGAATATGCGAATTTTCCCATTAAACAAGAGAAATCCCATGGTGCAGGGGCACAAACACAAGATTTTCTTGTCGTCTCGTCGCCACCACGCAGAAGAAGCACAAGGAACCTAAAGGAGGTTGGTAAAAGGAAAATTTAAATCATACTTCCAATAAATACTTTTTTTCTCCATTAGCCATCGTCGCCTCCAAAAAGAAAACTATCACTTAAAGACTCCCAATCTGAGGGTAATGAATCTAGTGACTCGACCACATCTCCCAAGGCAAATAGACAAAACGTTGAAAAACGCTTTGCCTGTCCTGATTGTCCGCGGTCATTTAACAAACATTCTCGCCTCGTGGAACATCAATTTATACACAATGGAGAAAAACCCTTTACATGCGATGAATGCAACAAACAATTCCGTTTCTTTCATCGCCTGGAGGAACACAAACAGAGACATTCCAAACAGCTGAAATTTATTTGTGAAATATGTAATTTAGGTTGTTGTACCCGGGCCGATTACAATCTGCACATGCGGCATCACACTAACGATAGGCGTTTCCAGTGTTCCATGTGTCCCAAAGCTTTTGTCCGCAGTGCCGACTTAAAGACCCACATACGAGTTCATACGGGCGAAAAACCCTATGTCTGTGAAGTGTGTAGCAAATCTTTTCGAGCCAATCAAAATCTCATAGCCCACAAGAAACTACACATGGGCGATGCCTTGAAAAATTTCAAATGTGAATATTGTGAAAAGAAATTTCTGCGAAATATCGATCGTAAGATTCACATGCGTAAACATACTGGCGAGAAACCGTACAAATGTAAGTTCTGTGATCGTAGCTATTCATCGAATGTCAATGTTAAAGCCCACATGGAACGTGATCATTCAGAGGGTCCGGTAATACGTAAGAAACCGGGACCAAAACCGAAAGATTGGAAAGAACAAATAGCTAGACAGCAAAAGTTAATAGAGGAGTTGCAGGAAAAGTTAAAACAACAAGTTAAACAGGAGGAGATAATTGTGCCCGACTGTCAGGTGATTGTTGAGGAGGACGGGCTAGATGGCGAGGATGAAAAGAAACCTGATGTAAGTGGGTTAAGTGTTTTTTGTGTAAAACAGGAAAGTAATGAAGAAATGCCAGAGGCTCCCAATCGAAGAGTACGTAATATTAAGAAAGAGAAAGATGTGACTAGCTAGTGGAGGTAAGAAGCTGAATGAGGAGACTGTCGAAAGATTGAAAGCAAAGTAATTGTAATAAAACGGAATATTTGCTACACCACATTTTTATGCAGAATATGGGATCATGAACTTTACGATCGCTAAAGCAAACTGTTCAATATGCTATTTACAAAAGAGTAGATTGGCCTAGAAGACATTTACAATGGATTTTAAGCTCGAAGTGGTCATGTACTATACATTAGATTTTTATTAAGGTCATTAACAATAGCGTGGATGACCTTTGGGGCTGTAAGGTATGACGTGGAAGATTCTTCATATCATCCTAAGTATCAATTACCATAGAGAATATATTATCATAAAAGAATAGATGAACCTTGATATCATATACTATGGAATTGATAATGCTAGAGGTCATATACTGCGGACTAGGCCCTGAGAATAATATTCTAAAGATTAGACTACCCAGACTTTTCTCAACTGTACCTGGGAAATGCACAGAAATTTACCTAAAACTCAATCTGGAGGTCCCCAATTTGAAAAATATGAAAATTTTCATGTAAAATATACAAAAAATATCACGGAGACGGTCCGGGTCCGCACCCTGCGTACGTCCCTGAGTCTTGAAGCCGATGTCTAGAAATTGAATGACACTAACGCCCCAACTACACAGCAGATGGCCCCAGGATATACCTACTATCAAGCATTTGATCCTGAAAATTTTCTTTAGACATCATCAACTACCGAGCATACGGCCCTAGAGGTCGTCTTTTGTATAACATGTGACTTTTAGGGCTTACTCACTTATAGTAGATGATTCTATAGGTTTACTACTATAGAGTATGCGACTCATTAGGTCGAATGCTATAGAGCAGATTACTTTAAAAATCATCTGTGTGCACTACATGAACTAGGAGTCCAACTTCTAGAAGCTAAGGACCAAAGGTGTCACCTAATATAAGGTAGTCGAGTATATAGGTTATCCGCTAAGGGTGGATGAACCTAAACTCCATCAGCTTCTTCTATGGAGTATGTGAATTCATAGCCATTTGAAAATGACTCTAAAGTATCATTATGGAACCGTCATAAGTCACATAATTAAGCATGTTAGATCCCATATCCATTTACTATGGCAAATATAATGTTTTAAGAGGTTATAATGATTTCGAATGACATTTTTTTTGCAATTTGAATATAAATCTCCATAAAATGTGGTGTAGTGTTTCTGCTGCTAGTCTCCTTCATTGACATTTCTTTACTTTCTTACTATTATAAAAAGCCAAGCAGCTTAGATTCTAGAATATACATGTATTGTTTATGTATGTCATGTTAATTTGTGTGCCTTAATATTTTCTAAAGTTCTCGTCCTTATTTAGTTTATTTAACTATGTAATAGTCAGTTATGTTGGTGTTCATACTAAGTCTTATATTGTTAAGAAAATAAACCACCTACCTACCTACCTTCCTATAATCCAATTTATATTTGAAGAATTCCTAACAACTTTACAATTTTTTTTTAACAATTTTTATATTCAAAGACTTTGAGAATACTTCCCTACCTTCTTTGACAGTAAACACTTATATATTCGAAGACTATTAGATATACTATCTAACTCATATGTCTGTCTGTATTACCCCCTCCTATCGTAAGAAGTACTTTTTGTAGATCTAATCACTTTATGTTTTTATAACATTTTATCAATTTTAACTGCCTTTATGTTTAATATTTTCCCCTTTTATGATCAAATAAAGACATATAATCTAAAAATAAAAAGAATGTGAATTTTTTCGATCCGCCGATTCGATATTCTATTCTTGATGAGCAATTGGAATAGCAAACAATGGGTGGTATGAGTAATACGCTATTGGTTGTTGTTCATACCCTCATTATAAAACTACTAATTGAAAAAAATGTGCCAATTTTCGTTTTCAAGCCAAAAATTCCTTTTAAGAATTTTTTGTTTATCATTCTCCACCTGGTGGCCATCTGTTGGTAATCATCTCTTTTTTATTCAGAAATTTGTCCATAAATAATGCGAACATTGCCTTCATATAAAATTAGCTTTTATATGACAGTAATATCGCAATTCAAACAAACAACCCCTTTCTTGAATATTTTTTTGTTTGGTTTCATTTCATTTCATTTTGCATTGTATTTCATTTTTGTACAGCGATACGACGGATAACATTTCAAGTTATTCATACGTCAAGTAGTACAGTAGAGTAAGCTGCGAAATTAAAACAAAATTTGCTGAGGTCGACTTGTTTTTTTTTTTTTCAAAACTACAAGAGCAACAACAATGCTATTCACAATAAATACTACAACGCAATACAAACAAGAAAAGTACAGGCGAACGATAATGACCACAGCACACACAAACAAGACAGCAACAAAGTAATGTGAAGAATGTGAGCTTGTGGCTTGAAAGTTTTGAAAATGAACAAAATTCGGCTTGGGAATAAAAGCAGGAAAAACAAGCATACGCCACAATTGCCACGTATAATGGAATTTTTTTTTCTTTCTTCCATTAAACCACAAAGAATATTTCTTCTTTCATTTGTTTTTTTCTTTGTTCTTTGTACAATTAAAGTTTATTGTCGTTCATGGCCCAGTGATTTTATAATTAGCGCTTTATGGAGTTTTGATGCTTTTGTTTAACTCTTTTATATTTCTCTCTCGTTTCCAGTTTTTCTCTCATTGTCATTGTTTTTCAAACGGACATGGACATCGGCATTTAACTTCTTTTGGCTCATTAAATGAACAATACAACCACCAGCAGCTATCTCATTGTAATTGTTTTCTTTTTTTTTGTTACCGTTGTTTTTCATGCATGCATTTGCTTGTTTCAGGCCTAACATTTCCATATTGTCATCTTCATATACGGTTAGTACAAAGTAAATGTACCAATATGTATGTATGGTGGTTGGTTGATTTGCTTTAATTTTTCTTTATTCACATGCATAAGTATGTGTGTGTGTGCCGTCATGTTCCTTTGTGTTGGGTTTTGTTGTTGGCAGCTGCTGTGTGTTATTATGAGGCGTCGGTTTTTTTGTTTATTTGTTATTACTTTGTACTTTGCCACTCCACTACATTACTACTACCGTTAATGAACGGCGCTCTCTCTCGCGCCCGCACTCACGCTCTTCCTTTGTCTGTTTCCCACCGTAAACAACTCACACAACATCATTTGCCATTTCAAATACATTGTTGAGTGTTCGCTCTTTGCAGATGCTCTCTTTTTAAGCATTTTTGTGTTTGTTTTTGTTATTGTGTGTGTGTGTGTGGTTTTACAAAATAAACCGGTTGTGTGTGTTTTTCTTCGTTTTGCCTTTGTGGATGGTATTTTGTTTGGCAATTGAGGCTCACAGAGTTGCATTAAAGAGTAGTAAATGCGGGGAATAATATGTAGTGAAGACGTTAGGTTTAAATATTGATTTGAAATGATTTTTTTTAACAAAATAGTGGGAAATTGTTGTTGTGATATTATAAAAATGTTTTCTTATGTTTTTCTTCATAACGAAAACTGTGATAATTTGGGCTCCATGTAGAAAAGATGCAAGAAAACGAATGCTTCTCTTTGAGTATAATGGGACGTATACGTATTATAATCATGAATTCCCTATTTAAAGAATTTTGATGTAATTATTAAGGATTGGTATGATGAGGAACTGTAACTTGTATAATATTAATGTAAGAAACAAACTTGCAAAAAATTTAAAATTTCATAAAAAATTATGGTAGAATTAGAAAGGTGACCCTTTGTCATCATATGTTTACAAATGATTCCTTTGACAATATCACATTGTTAAAGTGAGTGTTTATAAATCTATTGTATATACACAAATCAGAGATGGGAAATTGCTTTCTCTGCACTTATATTTGACAAAATATATTACAGAAAAATGCTGAGCTGGATATATTTATTTGAAATGAGACTATTATCCTATCAATTTCAAATTAATATAATTTTTCTTCTAAAATAACGAATTATAAAAAAATATTGTAAAAAGATATAAAATGAAAAAAACTTGACATTTTCCATGGTAGAATCAATAAGGTAAAGGTCCATAGTAGAACGTCGAAGTGGAATTTGACAAGGTAAATTATAGAGAATGCAGAGATGGGTATGCTTGTTTGAAATGACCTTACCTTCTTAATTTTACCATGAAATTTCCCAATAAATAAAATTTTATTCAAAAAATATTTTTACACATTCTGTTTCAAATTTTTAATTCAATTAATAAAGCGCACGTGTGTGTGTATGTCCCATTTACACAAATCGAATTAAAAATTTCGAATTTGTCAATCCCTTCAATTCACACCTTCATTACTACCATACATTGCAAACACTAAAAATAACCATCCCCCCATCCCCCTAACTCATTTGACATTTGTTGGGTTTCAATAAAATCTGGTTTTTGTTTCAACCATTTAGTAGATAATTAAACTAATTAAATATAGCAAATTGTTTAACAAAAATAATGCAAGCAAAGCATTTACATAACTTAATTATGTTTTGAGTTATGTTTACAACGCATCGTACACATGTACAAACATGCATACATAATAGTTCCAGAATGTATTGGGCATAAAAATAATCAATTAAAATAGCATTTACATAATACATGTTAAATAAAAATTACAGGTAGGGATGAGGAGGGAAAGAGAGAGGGGGTAGGAATACTTTGTATTTTTCCTTAAACAAATAGGGGTAATTGTTGGTCATTTTTGTTTAAATATTTAACAGATTTGTAAAGTATTGCGGTAATCATGTAGCCAATGTACTACAAAAGAATGGGGAAGTTGAGGGGATTTTTGAATGTCTTAATGGGAATTTTTGGAAGGCAGCTCTATTAGACTATTTTGACGTGTTAACCTCCTTCATCAGGATTTATTTGACGTATATGCTAAGTAAATGACAGTTTAAATGCACTCGATTCATTAAAACCTGTAGTCTGTAAACATACTATTAAGCCTTATAGTGCGTTTAATTCTCCTCCTTTATAAATCCTAAATTTAAATCCTCTGTGTTTACTTCAAACTGAAAAAAGTTTAAATTCCTTTTCTGAATAATTGTTAGTTAGTTCCTTTTACTGAATAATTGTTGGGAACTAGTTCTTCAATGAACACATAATGTGATCAGAAATCATAGTATTTTAACATTAGAGTTTCTTGCCGGTTTAACCTCGTTTATGAGAAGTTATTTGACGTATATGTAATGGAATATGCCCATCCCTGGGGTTTCCAAATTCGAGATTATAAAAATAACAGCTTAATGCTGTCACTTCCAATCAATGAATCATTTAATGGAACTAGTTCACCAAGGAACACATAAGGCGTTCAAAAGTGAGTTTTCTTTCTAAGCCAGTAAAAGAGCGAATTGTAATACTGGATCATAGGGTACAACCACGGTACAATAAGGAGATAGAACAGCTTCCTAAAACTACAGAAATACAGCCCTGAGGCTATGCCCGCTTCCTTTCAGAATAATTCAAAATTACAGGGTGAAATGGAAAACTGCAACCAACTTCAGAGTGCTGTCATTTCTAAGCCACTCGACCGACAGCTGTTAAATTTATTCCAGTGACAGCTCATTATATTGTTTACAAGCGTACCAAATCATTTTGGTGAGCATTCTCTAGAAAAAAAATGTAGGCGTGATAGAATTCAAGCGTGATAGTGTGATTTCTTTCTGATATTTGGCTGGAAAACTACAAGTGGCTATCGTTAGAGCACTTCAGCATTTAAATGTGAATAAATCTTTTGTGTCTCGTATCATCGCTCGTTACCGCGATACTGGTAGCGTAGCCTGAAGTCAAGAAAGTGGACGGACGAAACATCAACTTCAGCAGAAATGGTTCGAATAGTAAAGAAGCGACTTGATCGAGAACCGCCTCGCAGTGGCCGAAAAATGGCTCGTTAAAATTCCAAAAAGTGCAAGAATTTAAGGTGAGGTTACATAAGCAGCTTGGCATCTTGGCTAGGCATTTTAATGTCAAATTATAAAAGAAACGACGGCAGAATTTGAGTGCGGCTCTGACATCCCTTTATGATATGTTACCAAATATGCCATGCGAAGACTTCAAGCTGTTTATCTAGTCTCACCTTTACACCGCAACGGAATGAAAATAGACTCAAAAGAGCTAAAGCGTTGCTTTGCTTGGCCGAAAGTGGTAAACTGCCGAATTTGGTTTGGTGGTCTCCGATTAGAAAATATTTGTTGCCCAGCAGTTTGTAAACAAACAAAATGATCGTGTTTACTTGCCAAAGAGGTCAGCTGAAAATGTGCACCTTCGGTTGGCCACCACAACTCAAGCCTCAAGCCGGCCATGGTGATGGTGTGGGCCGCCATAACAGCCGATGGTCGCTCTCCGCTCTCCGGTATTAATCGACCGTGGCATCAGAATATATGCCGAATATTATTGCGAAAATATTCTGGAGGGTGTATTAAAGCCATGTACACGCAAACATTTTGGCCGCAGACCTTGGACATTCCAATAGGACTCAGCACGCGCCACCCAAAAATGGTTACAAAATAAGGTTCTTCGCTTCATTTCCAGCGCAGAATGGCCAAACAAAATCTCCGGATACCAATCTGTTGGAGTATTTTGGAAAGCAAGGTTGGCACTAAAACATACCAAAGTGTCGATCACCTCAAGCAAGCGTATCGCCGGGAATGGACCAAAATACCGCAGAGCAACATTCGGACAGCGTGTGATGGTTTCATTGTCCGTTTGAAGGCCATAATTCGTTTCAAAGGTGACCAATTCGAACAAATATAAAATTATTTTAAAATTTGATGGTATTTCCGACATTTTTTGCTTTCATTCAATGAAATTAAAAAAAAATTTAAAAATTATGGCATTAGATTTTGTTGCAGTTTTTTTTTATCTCACCCTGTATGCCGTATTTTAGTAAAACTCATAATTTGAGTGTCGGTATAAATCAGCCTTCATCGGCTTCTATTGAAGATTTATAAACAAAATCCACCGATTCCAGTGGCGTATACATGACGCCATTAGTTATACGCCCCCTGCCAACTTTGCTCAGCAAACATCCACACAAAAACTTTCGAGTTCTTTTCCGCTGTCAAAAAAACTAAAAGTTGTTAAACTTTATTTTCATTGGGGGTTATTAAACTTTCCACCCAAAAAGAAAATGGAAAATAAACGGAGGGCAATAACAAAACTGTGAACTTAAACCCTGAGTTTGTTTGGCAAATCGTAAAAAAACAACACGGCGCTAAGTTATGCAAATTTTCAGCGATTATTTGCAGTTTTTCCCCTCCGGCTTATATTCTTATGACTCAAGTTCAGTGTCAAAGATATCCATCCACAGCGGAGTATTGAGGTTTGCCAACTTGGTGTTTTTACGCTACGATTTTACGATAATCATATTTGCTCAAGAGATTTTAGACAAACAACAAGGTCAAGTACTGGGGGCGCTTATCTTTTGCAGAAAAACTGAGAAATCTTTTTCATGTTTTTTGGTTCATTTTTTTTTATTTTGCCAAAAAACAAATGAAACCTATTTTACATACGTCAAAGTGTCTCTGTAGATTGGATTATTGGACTTGCCAGATTATAGTTTTATAATGTTTATTTAACTTGTACGTCACACAGCTTAACCCAACCGCCTGGCATTTTTTACTGTTTGCCCCCTTCGCTTGTTTGACTTTTGGCTTAAATTGGCGTTAATTCGACAATATATTTATAAAAATGGAATAACAAAATGCTTACGATTGTTTTATTTATTTATCATATGATAAAACAGAAAAATATGATAGCTTCCAGCCCAGACCATAATTTTTAAGGCACGTTTTTTTTTCAAATACTCGTTTTTTGTTTGTGGTTCCAACACACGCTCAAATAAAAGAAGAAGGTGTGAATGGGCGGAAAGCTAGCTTGTGGCGGAGCCATGGTAACAGCTGGTACATGGATCAAATGCCATGCCAATTTATTTTATAAATGGCAATATAAATACTAAGGTATGTGCAAATTAATACCGTGACTGGGAGGTTTTCTTTGGGTTCACGTGAGGTGGTTAATTCCGTTCAATTTTTAAGAGTTCAAGAAGAGTTTATTTTTTAATAATTGTAGCATTATACAAAATCAAGATGAACTTAAAAACCTATGAAATAGTGTAATTACATTAGAGCCGGATTTATGAGGTTTTATTTGACGTATATGCAATGGAATTGACAATTTAAATCCCCTGGATTTACTAAATCCACTAAACTGTAACATAATATAACAGTTTGATCTAGTCCCCATGATTCACTTATTGAAAAATCAGTTATTGTAGTAAAAACTTTTACATTCTTGCAGTTCTGGAACAGAGCATAAGCTAACATATGATTGCAAAATTGTCAAATTTATACACATGGCAACATCTCATTGTCAAAATGTTTATTTACAAATTCACTTCCATGGTAGAAGAATACAGGTAGGGTGCAGCAACGCTTGGGAACATTTGATATGTCAAAAAATTTTAAATGTCTTTTCAAATAAAAGTAGATTTTTATATGTTTTCTTATACGACGTCATTCGGAGGCAATTATAACACAACAATTTTTACAAAATTTAAATAATTTTTCATTCAACATTTTCTATTTCCAAATTTGTTGGACAGTTCATTGTCCCAGCAGCTGTGTCGATGCGTCTACCTATATTCTTCAACCGTTCTATAAACTAAAGAAATAGTAAATAAATATAACAGTTTGATCTAGTCCCCATGTTCCACTTGGCAAATAATTTATGGGAACTAGTTCACCAAAGGAGCACATATTTACTTGTGTTCATTTGCGTATATAAACAGCTTGAAGTATTCGCGTGACATATCTCAAAGGGATGCCAGAGCCTCATTTGAATTCTGCCGCCGTTTTCGTATATAATTTGACATTTATATACCTAGCCATGATGCCAAGCTGCTTATGTATCCTCACCTTTAAAACATGGTAGAATTAAGATGGTAAAGACATGCAATCATATGTTTGGAATTTTTTAAAAATTGTTTTTTGACATCTCATTGTCAAAATGTATATTTATAAATTCATTGTATAAACACAAATCAAAGATGGGAAACTATTTCTTATGCGGTGCAATTTGACAAGGTAAATTGCAGAAAATGCAAAGATGGATATGCTTATTTGAAATGACTTTACCTTCTTAATTTTTCCATGAATAAAAGAGAGAAATGTAAAATTCGAAGGAACTAGTTAATATTTCAAAATAAAAATATCTAAAGATGCCTTGAGATTGCCATATTTATTTGCATAACTTTTTGGTAGGGTGGAGAAATGCTTTTTCTGGTTGAAAGTTGAATATTCTGACACGTAAAGGATTCAGTCCTTTAAAATCGAATCGTACTGTATGAACATAAAAGCTTTAATTTTATTTACACCGAAAATGTTTTGGTAAAGTTCGAATCTTGAAAAAAGGGGTAATTTTTGGTGTTGGTATCTAGTACCCATAGTTCATTTTTCTGAATAAATTACTGGAACTTGTTCATAATGGAACGCATAATGCTTTCGGAAGCTCACGTTAAAATAAATCAAAGCTTAAATCGTGACTCCGGCGTGAAAATACAACACTGGTAGATAATTGTCATCCCGAATTTTCGATCGAATTAACTTTAATTTCATTGCACAATATTGTCGGCGAAAGATGTGTTTTATATACAGAACATATTGCGAAGATTTTACAAGCATTTTTCATTCTGGGATTTTGGTCCTTAATGACTGACGTAAAAGCAAACGTTATTTGAAAACAACACCACAACTAACAGCACCGAGAATGCTTCCTTAAGATGAAGGGTTAAAAATCTACATTTTAAGTCAAGTTAAATAAAATTCGTCTTCCTAAGATATGGAACACATAACTGTTTTATTTGCCTAGGAATGCCGAAGATAATAGATTATTTATTATTTTTGTAAAATATGCCACTCGTCATACGTAAATATTTCAGATATGAAAATATTTTTTTTTAGAAAAAGTGACATAGCATCCAAACTTTAGAAGATTTTCATATGTTTTCTTATACGACGCCAATCTGAGATTGTTATGACATGAATTTTTCAAAATTTTTTACAAAATTTCAATATTTTTTTCATTCAAAATTTTCAGTTCCAAAATTGGTTTGAAAGTTCATTGTCCCAGCAGCTGTGTCGATCCGTCTACCTGTATTCGTTTACCATGGCAAAAACCTAGAAAAATTAAATAAAACATTTTGATCTACTCCCCATAGTTCCATTCGTTGAATAAATATTGGAACTATTTCACCAAGGAACACATAACGCGATTAGAAATTATAGTATGTTTACAATGGAGTTTTTTTGGCGGAAACAACCTTATACCATATGATGTCAGGCAGCTTATGATAAAATTTAGCCAGTATTAAGGTGAGAATATATAAAATGCTTTTTTGACTTGTTTGCGTCATCGACCGGCTTCTTCGGAAAAGAACAAAGGAGCATAGGGCTAAAATCGAAATAAGTTAACCTAAAACTCCTTTGTTCCTGAACGAAAAAGCCATCCGATGACTTAAGTCAGTCAAAACAGTGGATTGTGCATCTCACCTTTAAGTCATTGGCTAGCTTCTTCGTAAAAGAGCAAAGAAATTTTAGATTGACTTAGTTCAATTTCGAACCTTAATTCATACTTGTTCGCCCTACGTACCTTTGTTCTTTTACAAAGAAGCCAGCGGATGTTCTAAGCATTTCAGAAGGAAAAAAGTATCTGAGACTTCATGACGGAGACTGCTGTTGTCTATTATTAAATCTACTCCTAAAATATATGTCAATGTAAATAGGTCATATAAAATGCTTAATTTGTAGTATGAAATGAACAAGAACTATTGCACTCGACCATTCAATTTTGTTTCACGTATCCCGGTAGATTTATACTTCAGCTAATGTTGCAAATTGAACAAATTTTTGGTCATGAAGATTAGTTTCTTTTTATTAAGATTGGGCGCCATAGTGTAGAGCTATTTATTTATAACTTCACTTCTTGTTTCTTATAACTTTTCAGGAAAAGACCACAGATGACGGCTAGACAATATTGGAATCACTTTGTACCGAGACTCTTATTTTAACATATTTGCATTTAAAGTTATTACATCAAACGTTTAAATTATGCCGAAAAAACATCTTGGGAAAGAGATGAGGCCTAAAAAGAGGCATATATTTCATGCCATGGTACAATTAAGAAGGTAACCTTGCGCAATCATATGTCCAAATATATATTTTTTCGAAATTACGCCTTTGACAATATCTCATTAAAATATATATTTAGGGCTCCTTTATAAATGCAAAAATCGGAAATTCAATAAAATTGAAATTGACGAGGTAAATTACAGAAAATGCGGAGCTGGATATAAATAATTGCACTTTTTGTGTTAACCAAATTTTAAGATTTTAACAAAAAATATCTCCGGCCTTAAAAAATACTCACATGAATTTTTCCATTGTTGAAATTTGTGATACAAAAAGCAGGCACATATAAAAAATATCACAGATACAATGAGTAATGTCAGTATTATACCAATCCATATATCACTGACCACCCGTGAATAGTCGGCCTCGTCCAGGCCTTTGGCATATGTGATGCGTGGTGGGCCGGCACGACTTGAGGCAATGGGATCGCCGAGCAAATCGACCGTACCCCCATTGGCCAAAGAGATTTCAAATTCCTTGTGGTCCACTGAAATATTGGCCAGTGTTGAGTCGACGCCCAATGCCAGTTGTTCCAGTTTATTTATCAATACCGAATAGTTTTGTAGTAAATCCAAATCCAAAGCATCCGAAATTGAGGAGGCAATGGGTGCCACAGTTGTGGTGCTGATATTTGAGAGAATTGCCGTTGCAGCGGCGGTGGCATTTGTCAATAAGTCAGTCATGTTGTTGGAGTCTGTTGCGTAGATCACTTTCGAATATAGTAATGATTTATGGTTTTTAATTATTATTTTTTGTTTTGCAATTGTTTGATACACTGTTCTTTATTTTCTTTTTTTAACTTTTCAATATTTCGTCTTTAGTTATTCGTTGTCATGTTGTTACTGAATCTTTTCGTTTTATTGATTTCACACTCAAGCGTTACTATCACAACTTTGCCAAAGGTTCCAGAGTTAATACTTTTATTTGCCACTTTTTTTGTATTTAATAAATATTTTGTTTAATAATTTGTTGTTATTTTTGCGTTGCGTTTTTTGTCTACGCCTGGTGTGGTAGGATTTTCATTAGCACCGAAATGTTAATTAATTTTGTTGCTATACTTTTGTTTTTCTTTTTAAGCTTTGATGCGAAAATGTTTCTTTTTTTGGATTATTTTTAATGTTCAACAATATGCGAACTGTAATAATAAAAATAAAATCAATTAAATAAATAAATAAAGTGTTTTGTTTGAGAAATTGTGGAAAAAAATCTGGTTAGTGGTGGATAATTCTGAAAATGATCAACAATTTTGCACCACATTCTAAAAGAATTACTTGAGCGATTCTTAAGATCTCAAAATTTGAGACCTCAAAAATATATGTAAATCATGGTAGAAAAATTCAGGTAGATGCATCAACACTTGGGATCATTGATATGTCAAAAATTTTGAAATGTTTTTTTCAAAATCAAGTAGATTTGTATATGTTTTCTTATACGACGACAATCGGAGATTATTATGATATTCGTTTTTCAACATTTTTTACAAATTTGAATAATTTTTCATTCAAAATTTTCAATTTCAAATTTAGTTTGACAGTTCATTGTCCCAGCAGCTGTGTCGATGCGACTACCTGTATCCTTCTACCATGATATAAATATTTGACAATACGTCATGTCAAGTTTAACCGAGTCTCCCGCTTTGTCATGGTAGAATAATGCAGGTACATGCTTCAAGTCTTTGAATATTGAAATATCAAACATTTTTTTCAAAAATTAATAGATTTTTATACGACGCCAATTATGATAAGCATTTTATGATAAGCATTTTTCAACAAATTTTAATATTTTTTCATTTAAATGTTTAAATTTCAAAATTGGTTTGACAATCCATTGTTCCAGAAGCTGGATCGATATCTTTCTACTTTGCTCCTTGTTAGGTATTTCAGGGTAGATTTGGATATTCTAGTTCATTTTAGTGAGCTTTCTTTTAGTTCAGCTCTTTCCACGGAACTAGTTCCCAATTTGTGTTTCATAGTTCACTTTTGAGTTCAATTGTTCGGATCAGAATTGAAATCATAATTCATGAAGTAGTAAAGGTGAGAACATAAAGAGTTAGTTTTTTACTGGCTTAAGGTGAGAATACATAAAACGCTTTTTTGGCTGGCTTTTTCGGATAAAAGGAGTCGTGGTCCAAAATCGAACTAAGTCTACCTAAAACTCCTTTGATCCTCTACAAAGAAGCCAGCCGATAACTTAAGCCAGTCTAAAGAGCGTATTAAGTATTCTCACCTTTCAGTCATCGGCTGATTTTTTTCGCAAAAGTACAAAAGAGTGTAGGGTGAGCAAGTATAAATTATGGGTCGAAATTGACCTAAGTTAACCTAAAACTCCTTGTTTCTTTTACGAAAAAAAACTCCTATGTTCTCAGAAGTCAGGCGATGACTTAAGCCATTAAAAAAAATTGTTCTATATAGTCTCACCTTAAAGACTCGGAATAAGTGAATGAAAGTCCTAAAGGTATGTTATAGTTCGCCCTACGCTTCATTTGTCCTTTTCCGAAGAAGCCAGCCGATGACATAAGCCAGTCAAAACAACGTTTTATGTATTCTCACCTTTGAGATCCACTCGATTTAGTAAGTCTAAACGCGCTATTATTTCGTGAACTGGAGCGAACAGAATGAACTAGTTCCTTCTTGAACTATTCAATTCTAAAGTTGATAATACATAAAAGCCTTTCTTGACTGCCTTAAGGTATCTGTTGGCTTCTTTGGAAAAGAACAAAGGAGCGTAGGGCCAAAATCGAAATAAGTTAACCTAAAACTCCTTTGTTTCTTTACAAACCCTAAACCCTAAACACCTTAATTCAGGATGACCGCTTCAGCAAATATTGTGTTGACTGTTGGAGCTCTGGTTTATTGGATAATTTTCCTTTATCCACTACCTAAATTATTTGTCGTCTTCACTGTACTGTAACTGTAGTATCCCCCAATTTTCATTTATAAACTCCGCCACATAACGAAATCAATATCTGTCATCAGATATTGCAAGCCATAAAAAATAATTGATATGTATTTTTTTGTGTGCTGTATTCTTGCAATAAAAATTGAAAAAATAAATCTCTGTTAATTATTACCACAAATTTGTCCAGAGATATTTATTTATTTATTTACGTGTGACAGTATGTCGCGGCATATGCGCTGAACAGGCAGATATGACAATGTGGTTGGTGTTGTTCATTTTTTTATCTGTTACAAATTCACAGAAGTCAATAACTTGATGACAGTTAATGGACAACCGCAAGTAAAGCACGAAATATATTCTATATATAGAAATCCACTGGCATGGCTAAATTGCAAGTGATTTGCGGCAATACTTGACAAGGAAAAGAGGTTATGACAGAGTACTTGATTATCTGTGACCGATATATTTTTGTAAGGGAAATTACAAATATTAATTAAGGGGACAATATCTAGAAGAGAGGGAGAGAGAGACGGACAAGGAAAAATTATGTTTATAAAAAAGTCCCAAAAGTCCATAGTATAATTAAAAAGATAAGTTCATTTGTCAAGTTGGTAATGACAACCCTTTTTTATGTTGGAACCATGGTAGACTAATATAGGTAGTCGCATCGACACAGCTACTGGGACAAATAACTGTCAAATCAATTTTGAAATTGAAAATTTTGAAAAAATATTCAAATTCGATCAACTAGAAAGATTTGTTTCTTTTTGTTTAGATGGGGCGCCCCATTGTAGAATAATTTATTTATAACTTTATTATTTGTTTCTTATATTTTCGTTTTAGGAAAAGGCCTCAAATGACTGCTGGACATTTTAACCGTCACTTTGTACCGAGAATTCTATTTTAACATATTTGCATTTAAAGTTATTACATCAGGTGTTTAAAGTATGCCGGTAAAAACAGCGTGGGAGTGAAAGGCATCCTAAAGGTGTCGGTACAAAAGCCGCTTGAAGTCTTCGCGGGCCATATTTTGCGACATATCATAAGGGGATATCAGAGCCGTATTCAGTATTATACCAATCCATATATCGCTGACCACCCGTGACCAATGAGATTTAAAATTCCTTGTGATCCACTGAAATGTTGATCAGTGTAGAATCGACACCCAATACCAGTTGTTTGAGTTTATTTATTAACGCCGAAGAGTTCTGTAGTAAATCCAAAGTATCGGAAATTGAGGAGGTAATGGGCGCCATGCTTGTTGCTTATATTTAAGAGAATTGCTGTTGCAGACGAAGTATTGAAAATCATGGCGATAGAGGCCAAGTCAGGCCAAATTTTAGTCTCAACATATTTGCATTTAAAGTTATGATATCAACAAGTCAAGCAAACAAAAGTTACATTTTCTTTTCTATCTACCTAGATGCGTCTGTATTCTTCTACCACGAATAAGATCTATTCGACATCAGGCCAAAAACTAGTTTTAACATATTTTCATTTAAATTTATGATATGAAGAAGTCAATTATTAGAAAAAGTTTCAGTTTCTTTGCTAGGTGGCAACCTTCTAAAGAAATGTCGTGATGATGGAACTACGGCCAACTTCAAGTAAGAGAATTGTTCCTTTTTCTTGTGCCTACAGAAGCAAAGGCAGCAGGTCTTTTAAAAACGAATGTAGAATCACAACGTTCATGTCAAAAAGAAACGCTTTATGCTAGGTGTCAACCTTCTTAAAAATGTTGTGTTGATGTAACTAATGATGAGAGTACATAAAAGGCTTTATACTGGCTTAAGTCTTCTTCGTAGAGGAACAAAGGAGTTGTGGGTAGACTTAGTTCGATTTCGGTTCTAGGCTTCTTTATTATTTTCCGATGAAGCCAGATAATGACTGAAACCAGTCAAAAAATGTATTTATGTATTCTCACCTTAAGACCAATTTCACTTCCATGGTAGAAAAATGCAGGTGGATGCATTGACGCTTGGGAGCATTGATGTGGTAAAATTTTAAAAAATCTAAATCTCCTCATTTCCTTTCTAGCTCCCTTTTGACATTCCTTTCTCCCCCCACATAGAAACCAATATATCTACGTGCACTTTACAACGTTCTCAAAACGTCGGATGACGTCAATTTGAAAATTATTTCAAGGTATATTTGCATTTAATGAGATTTGTTAAGTGTGTCAATATTTTCCGCGGGTGCACATATCTCTGTCGATTTATCTATTTGCACAAATTGTCTATTGACCATTAGCCATTCAGTCGTTCATTCATTAGCTAGACGAAGCTAATAGGAGAATCCACAAACCACACACACACACCCCGAAGTGGGAGAGGGGTGGGCTTAAAAGAATTACACCTGAGATGGAGGGTAAACAAACACTCATTAAAGTATTTTCTGCCTGAGTTGCTAGCCTCGATGAGTATGGGCTTCGAAGACAGTGAGAGAATTTGTTTCGTAGCGCTAATCAATATTCTGAAGTATTTTAAATAATTGATTAGATTTCAGCTTTCGCTGAAGCTCTTCTATGCATATGATTAAAAACAAATCCAAGTGTTTTTAAAACTTTCTGAATTTTTTTTGAACAAATTTTTGTAAATCTTGAAAGTATACAAAAACAGGCAGCGACCTCCCTCCACAACATCAAACCTGTGCCAGGCATAATTTTATCGTCACAAAATTGAATACATTATCACGTTGTTTCCTCTTCTATTTCGTTTAATTCGTTAAATCCATAGCAACAAAAGCCGCAGTAATGCAAAAAACAACATCCACTTAAAAATCAATAACAAAATCATTTCTCATATAAATATTTATTTGTTGTTGTTTTTATTTTTCTAAGGTTAACCTAAAACTTTACATTTAGATAAATTAAATGTTAATAGACATTTTGCGTTGCATTAAATGCCGTTAAACTGGGGAAAAAATTTGCAAAGCAAACAAACTGAGCCGGTGTAAATCATTCATTAGTCACAATGAATTTGTTGAAAGTTGGTAGATTTGTATATTGTTTTCTTTTTACATTTTATAATGAATGAAAGTCATGGCGTCCTCCAATCTCATGGCTGGGGCACGTGAGATTGTGGAACCTAGCAACAGATGGAAATTCTTCTAAGAAAATGTAACTTTCTTTTGGGGAGAGTACCCTCAACTGATAACGTGTCGAGTGTCAAATCAGTCACCTTGAGATGATGACACTTACAATATGTTTACATATGATGTATTTTGCAGTGCTCATCCCCTTCATAAGGATTGGCAATTTAAATTTACTTGAATCGAGACGGACTTAAATACACTTACCCCGGTATGCACAAGTTTTCAAAAGCTTTCAATTCCGTAAAAGTACTATTTTCGCCTAAGCTAACTCACCATCTTTTTAGAGAAATGAGCCATTATCGTAAAAGAAATCTATTGACCATAATAAAATGAAGAAGGTAGGTAGAAGTCGTTTCAAATAAGCATATCCATCTCTGCATTTTCTGTAATTTACCTTGTTACATTTCACTGCATAGAAAAGAGGTTCCCATCTCTGATTTGTGTATGTCTCCCATCTCTGATTGTGATGTACAAGTATAAATTTTGACAATGAGATGTTGTCAAATAAATAATTTTGAAAAAATTCTGAACATATGATTGCATGACTGTAACTTCTTCATTCTACCACGCTATTGGCAAAGTCTGTGGGTGTCCTCCTTACACTCGTAGTGTAGAGATTCTAAAGGAGAGAATACATAAAACGTTTATTTGACTGGCTTAAGTCATAGGCTGGCTTCTTCGGAAAAGAAGAAAGGAGCGTAGGGCCAAAATCGAACTAAGTCAACCTAAAACTCCTTTACAATCGTAGTGTAGAGATTCTAAATGAGAGAATACATATAACGTTTATTTGACAGGCTTAAGTCATCGGCTGACTTCTTCGGAAAAGAACAAGCGAGCGAAGGGCCAAATTCGAACTAGGACAACCTAAAACTCCTTTATACTCGCAGCGTAAAATTCTAAAGGAGAGAATACATAAAACGATTATTTGACAGGTTTAAGTCATAGGCTGGCTTCTTCGGAAAATAACAAAGGAGCGTAGGGCCAAAATCGAACTAAGTCAACCTAAAACTCCTTTTCTATTCTACGAAGGAGCCAGCCGATGACTTAAGCCACTCGAGAAAGCGTTTTATGTATCCTCACCTTAAGGCTGCAACATTTTTCTTCACCCAAAAGTGGTCATTCCTAAATGGAATGATGCTTTTCTTCAAAGATAAAATGTTTGGAGAAAAAATTCCTTCCGTTAGAACTAATGTACCCTTTCCTTGAGGAAATATTCCACTTCGTTGAAGAAAGACACAATTTTTCTGACAAGAGCAAAACTACTTTCGTACAGTTACTTTTATAAATATCCGCACCCTTTTTTAAAAGAGAGTACTATTTCTCTGAGGAGAAGAGATTTTTCGAATAAGGAATGTACACTCACAACGCCTGATTCAACAAGGAACACTTTTAAGGGAGGTTAGCGATTTTCTTTGCTAGGTGGCAACCTTCTGAAGAAATGTTGTGTTGATGGAACTACAACCAACTTCAAGTAAGAGACTTCGTGAGAACCATGGTAGAAGAATACAGGTAGATGCATCAACGCTTGGAAACATTGATATGTCAAAAAATTTTGAATGTTTCTTCAAAAATAAATAGTTTTTTATGTTTTCTTATACGACGTTATTTTTTTGAACAATTTTTACAAATTTAAATAATTTTTCATTCAACATTTTCAATTCCGAAATTGGTTTGACAGTTCATTGTCCCAGCAGCTGTGTCGATGCGCCTACCTATGTTCTCACAACGTCTGATTCAACAAGGAACGCTTCTAAACAAAGTTAACGATTTTCTTTGCTAGGTGGCAACCTTCTGAAGAAATGTTGTGTTGATGGAACTACGGCCAACTTCAAGTTGGAGACTTCGTCAAAACGATCTATCTTTTATTTTTTGTAGGTACAGAAGCAGAGGGAGCAGGCAAAGAACTAATTTTGGAAATTAGATGAAATTCAATAGATAAATACCAATAGTAATGACGAAAATGCTTCTGTTTCTCTGTTTAGCTAACAAACGTTGGAACAACCCTACTTTAGTGAAAACTTTCCGATTTTTTCCAGAGATAGGTATTTTTATCCGGATTCCGCGAAACTGTTTTTTCTTGGCTGAAATACCTGGGACCCCAGATTTTTGACCCGAAAGTCTGGGTTCAAGACCCGGGCTAGAACTGGATTCACTTACTCGATGGAGACAATAAAAAGCGGTTCGGAAATTATAATCAAATTATAGTTTTATGGACCAGGATTTTTTTATAAAACCTCCAAAAAGTCGGAAAAAGAGCTCTTTGTGGCACATCTGTTTCGCTAATAAACGTTGGAACAACTCTAGTTTGCTAAAAACTATTCGATTTTTTCCAGACGTGGGTATTTTTACTCTGATTCCGCGAAACTATTTTTTTTCTTGTGGGACGCACCCGGGTCCCAAGATTTTTGGCCAGAGTTCAAGACTCGGGCTAGACCTGGATCCCCTTACCCGATATAGACAATAATGATGGGGGTTATTTATAAGCGGTTCGTAAATTATAGCCAAATTATCGTTTTTTTGGACCCGGATTTTTTATAAAACCCCCAAAAAGTCGAAGAAGAACCCGTGTCAACAAAATTGACGCCAAATTATAGCTGACACTCTTACCTTTCCAAAATGCTGCAATTTGTGCCAATGCCTTATCTAGGTCCAGAGGTATCGGCGTTTCCGTTCGTCTGCCTGTCCAGGTATATTTGTAAACAAAGTACAGGTCGCATTTATTGCCCGATTCAGATGAAATTTTGCACAAGTCATTTGTTTGGCCCAAGGATGGGCCCTATTAAAATTGGAGATAATCCTTGAAAATGTAGATATAGCTTCCATATATATCTTCGTCCGATTTGCCTGTTTTTGTGCACCAAACGTGTAATATCAGTCTAAATAATATGGAATTTTGCTAGTACGACCAAATTAGGCCTGGAAATAAGTATGTCAAATTTAAACGAAATCGGTTTAGATATAGTTATAGCTCGCAAATATATTATTCATCCGATTTGATATTTTTCCCCTACGCAGCCGTAATATGCACTCTGTAACAACGATATTTGGGGTAATATACCAAATACAGCACAGAAATATCTTTGCCAAATTTTATCGAGATCGGTTCAGATTTGGATATGGCTCCCATAGATATCTTCGTCCGATTTACCTTTTATTGTGCACCAAACGTGCAGTATTAGCCCAAATGAGATGGTATTTGGCACTTGCGACCAAATTGAGCATAGAAACATGTATGTCAAATTTGGTGAAAATCGGTTCAGATATATCTATGGCTCTATATTTATTATTTGTTATATGAAGCTCTACTAAATATGCAAAGGGATGTGGGGTATCATAAAGTCGCCGCCAACCAACTTTTTCACTTCCTTTACTGGTTTTTTAAGAAAAATTTAATTTATTTGAAAAAAAAAAAAACAAAAAAAAATCTAGATATAAGTTAGTTTTCTATGAAGAAATTTACCAATTTTTGGAAAAAATCTGCTCTTTTTAATAAGAACATTCCTTCCTTACAAATGTTATATCTTTCCACAAAAGTCCTTTTTCATTTCAGAAGCCACTACACATTATCCCGATTTTTTCCACAATTTTCATTGTCACATTTATTTTAGACCGGGACCACATGTTTTTTTGTTGTTCCAATTCCATTTTTGTTTTATTTAACTCGTTAACTGTTATTTAAATAACTTATTTTTTTCGTATCAACACTTAGTCATTAATATTATTCACAAGGTTTTCCATTGAACACTTTTGTTAATTCTAATATTTTTTTTTTCGTTAAATTAAAATGCTTGTTTCAGAAAAAAAAACAAGTTTAGATATTTGTTTACATTTAAAAATACCGAAAAAAAATCGAGAGATTTTTGACCGGTTAGACGAAAATGGCGCGCAAACGGAGAAGCGGTTTTTGGGAAATATTTTCTTTAACTAAATTTTGTCTTTAATTTTGTAACTTTTTCCAAACACCTCAGGATCGGAAGAACTGCCAGTGGAAAAAATATAAACCGCTCGCCAATGTTTACAACAATTAACTAAACTGTTTTGTTTGCAATAATTTTTTGTACTTTATTTAACTGTTTTGCTTCAGTTTTTTAAGAGCTGCTTGGGGAGGCAACCCCAGCCATAGCAGCAACAACAACAACAACAAAATATAACCACTTCACGACATAAGAGCTGATGACAACGGCGACAACATCGTCGTCAACGATCGTTGTTTGGTTGTTTTTTCTTGCTTTCTTGTTGTTGTCTGATTCGGTAGAGAGATACTTTTTTGTTATTGCTGTTGTTCTTGTTGTTGTTGGTATGTAGAAGTGTAAACAAAAGGTACGACAGGTTGTCTGTTTTTCATTCTGGCCAGGTAAACCCAGAAATGTACATACGCACACACACACACATATACACACTCGCCTTTGCACGGGCACAAAGAACTGTCATCACAAACGAAGTGATCTCGTTGTTTTACGAGAGGAATGGATAAGAGACACTGGAGATGTGAGAAATGTAGCAGTATTTTGGTTTGTTGTACTCACTGTGTAGAGAGGAAATAGTTAGTTGTAACGTAAGGGTAAGGTAAACATAACATAAATATTACGCACACGCAAAGCGGTTATTTCCATGGACGTGAAAGTTCATTAAATTCTAAGGTTGTTAATGAAATGCATTAACTGGTTTTGCCACAAAAAACAACGATTAGCAACAATTAATGACTAGCAGTCGGTAGCAATGAATGACTGACAATCAAATACCAAGCAGCTAAGGATGATCCAGTCGTTGTCATAGTTTTGAAATTAGCAACTCAGCACACAAATTGTCGCCAGAAACTCAATAGTTTAAAGACTTGCGAAAAATCACAGCACAAATTATTAGGTGTGTCAATTGGGGGTGCAATTAAAAAATGGGGGTTTTTACAATACCTATAAACTGATACACTTGGTAACTTAAAAATTCTTATCTCGCGCACTATATGGTGAATTAATTTCGACATTTGAGCAATTAAAAATATCTGACTTTTGAAGAAAAAAAAACAGATTTTTAGATTGCAATTAAAACAAATCTATTTTAATAGGAATTAGGTACAATAAAATCGAGGTGTGTGATAGATAGCTATCTGTCACTAATGATAATGACGTATAGTGGAAGTTTTGGGAACTGATATATTTTTATCAATTGAAATGAAAAAAAAGAGTGAAACCATAACAAAAAATGTCTTGTGATTGATTGACAGCAAAGACCAGCTAATCAATCAAGTACTTAAAATGCGACACAAATATTAAAATATTTTAGGGAAAAATATCATGGGGGAAGGATTCTCATTAATAAGTATTGATTTTTAAAGATATAAAACGTTGTCATTTAGAGTACGACTCAGAAGGAACGTTACACATTAACAAAATATATTTATAACAAAAAAATATTTTTTTAAAATTGTGCTCCTTTTCTGAAGGAAAATTAACTTAGTTTTGAAGGAGAGAAAAATATTTAAAAAAAATGTAAAGAAAAACCTAGCGTCGGTCGGGACCGACTTAACTTGAAATCGGGAGCGCCACATAAAAGTTGACAGGGAACGTTTTTTAACAAAGTTGGTGGTTTTCATTTTATGTAGGTGGCAACCTTATGAAGAAATATTGTGTTAATGAAACTACAGCCAACTTCAAGTAAGAGACTTCACGCAAACGTAAGGCAGCAGACCATGGTAGAAGAATACAGGTGAACGAGTCGACACAGCTGATGGGACAATGAACTGTCAAACTAATTTTGAAATTTAATTTTTTTAATGAAAAACGAGAAAAAAAGCTGTAAGTTCAGCCGGGATGAACTTTGAATGCCCTCCACAAAAAGGGAAACAATTCGCCAATTTTCAAAAAAAAAAAAAAAAAATAAATAAATAAATAAATAAATAAATAGAACAAATAAAAAAAATCCATAAAAAAATCTTTTAAAATCTTAAAAATATCGAATATAGCCGTTATATTAAGGGTCTATATGACGACGTGGACCTGAATAGGCAACGTTGGTCATAAGTCATAACAATATTCAAATGCGAAACTTAAAAAAACGGTAATAATGTATCTATAATAATCAAAATACCGAATATAGGGAGGTACCGTTACATCGGGGCTATAAGAAGACCTGGACCTGCATAGACAATTTTCTGTCACAGGCTGTAGTACCTATTAGGAACATCAAATACCAAATTTGAAACAATTCCGATGAAAAAATCGCTAAAATCATCAAAACACCGAATATGGGGAGGTACCGTTATATGGGGGCTATACGAAGACGTGGACTTGCACAGACAATTTTCTGTCATAGGCTGTAGTATCCATTACGAACTTCAAATACCAAATTTGAAACAATTCTGTTGAAAAATGTCGCTAAAATCATTAAAATATGGGGAGGTTCCGTTATATGGGGGCTATAAGAAGACGTGAACCTGCAAATAAAATTTTCTGTCGTAGGCTGTAGTATCCATTACGAACTTCAAATACCAAATTTGAAACAATTCCGGTGAATAATGTCGCTAAAATCATCAAAATACCGAATATCGGGAGGTACCGTTATATGGGGGCTATACGAAGACGTGGACCAACATGACCCATTTTCTGTCTTAAGCCGTAGTATTTATTACGTACTTCATACACCAAATTTAAAACAATTCCGGTAAATAATGTCGCTAAAATCAACAAAATACCGAATATGGGGACGTACAGTTATATGGGGGCTATACGAAGACCTGGACCTACATAGACAATTTTCTGTCGTAGGCTGTAGTATCCATTACGAACTTCAAATACCAAATTTGAAACAATTCCGGTGAATAATGTAGCTGAAATCATCAAAATACCGAATATCGGGAGGTACCGTTATATGCGGGCAATAAAAAGACGTGGACCTGCAAAGACAATTTTCTGTCACAGGCTGTAGTACCTATTAGGAACATCAAATACCAAATTTGAAACAATTCCGGTGAATAATGTCGCCAAAATCATCAAAATACCGAATATCGGGAGGTACCGTTATATGGGGGCTATACGAAGACGTGAACTTGCACAGACAATTTTCTGTCATAGGCTGTAGTATCCATTACGAACTTTAAACACCAAATTTGAAACAATTCCGGTAAATAATGTCGTTAAAATCATCAAAATACCGAATATGGGGAGGTACCGTTATATGGGGGCTATACGAAGACGTGGACCTGCACAGGCAATTTTCTGTCACAGGCTGTAGTACCTATTATGAACATCAAATACCAAATTTGAAACAATTCCGGCGAAAAATGTCGTTAAAATCATCAAAATACCGAATATGGGGAGGTACTGTTATATGGGGGCTATAAGAAGACGTGAACCTGCAAAAACAATTTTCTGTCGAAGGCTGTAGTATCCATTACGAACTTCAAATACCAAATTTGAAACAATTCCGGCAAATAATGTCTCTAAAATCATCAAAATAAACAATATCGGGAGGTACCGTTATATGGGGGCTATACGAAGACGTGGACTTGCACAGACAATTTTCTGTCGCAGGCTGTAGTATCCATTACGATCTTCAAATACCAAATTTGAAATAGTTCCGGCAAATAATGTCTCTAAAATCATCTAAATAAACAATATCGGGAGATACCGTTATATGAGGGCTATACGAAGACCTGGACCTGCATAGATAATTTTTTGTCTTAGGATGTAGTATCCGTTACGAACTTAAAATACCAAATTTGAAACAATTACCGTAAATAATGTCGCTAAAATCATCAAAATACCGAATATCGGGAGGTACCGTTATATGGGGGCTATACGAAGACGTGGACTTGCACAGACAATGTTCTGTCTTAGGCTGGAGTATCAATTACGAACTTCAAATACCAAATTTAAAACAATTCCGGTAAATAATGTCGCTAAAATCAACAAAATACCCAAAAAGGGAGGTACCATTATATGGTGGTTATACCAAAACGTGGATCTGTATGGCCTATTTTCAAAACCAGAAGTTCTGCACACATAATACACATTTGAGTAAAATTTTATCAACCTACTTCATTTCGTTCAGAAGCTAGAGTGATTTCAACAGACGGATAGACGGACGGTCAACGCTAAATCGACATAGAATTTTATGCTGATCAAGAATATATATACTTTATGGGATCTAAAGTGTATATTTCGAGGTGTTACAAATGACAAACTTAATATATCCTCCATACTATGGTGGAGGGTATAAAAAATACTTTACAATACAAAAGACATACGAGGAACGTTTTTATACAAAGTTGGTGTTTGTCTTTGCTAAGTGGCAACCTTATGAAGAATTGCCGTATTAATGGAACTACAGCCAACTTCAAGTAAGAGACTTTAGAAAACAACTCCACAAGTCCTCCATTGTAATACTTTGAAAGAAAGCTGGAGTATTTTTATAAAGACTTTTTCCAAATGACATTAAAAAAATAAGGAATCTGCCTCCTTTTTTAGTTAATGTGATTTTTGAATGCCTTAAGGGTGGAAATATATAATGCGCAAATTTGGCTGGCTTCTTCGTATAGGAACAAAGGAGTCTTAGGTTAACATAGTTCGATTTTGGCCCAAGGCTCCTTTGATTTTTTCCGAAGAAGCCAGCCAATGGCATAAGCCAGTCAAAAAAGCGTTTTATGTATTCGCACCTTTAAATATTCATAACAAGGAAGTAACTCGCTTTCATCTCTCAACTTTCCTTCAACTCTCAGTGTCAGTGCCCTCTCTCCCCCACGCTCATTTCAGCCTTGCTATTTTATTATTTGCTCTCCGAAAATATTTACAAATCATATTGTTAACAAATATGTATGTAATAACAACAATAATCTCAAATTAAATTTGTAAATTAAAATTCCATTTATGTTAATTTCCTTCATTAATTTCAAATTGATTTAACCTCAAAATCATTTGCAAGTCAAATGAGTCTTAAATAAATATGGAAGCGATATTTAACTGTTGTGTAAAATAATAACAAACTACGAAAAACAAATAACACTTATTGAACAACAAGAAGAAGAAGCAGAAGAATAACAATAACAACGGCAGCAATTA